ACATGATGTGGGCCAAAGGTAAAGGCAGCAAAAATGGAGAAGAGTTTTAAGATGTACGACATGGGTGAGGAACAGATCTGAAAAATATCTGGAGAAATAGCCCATACTAACCACTAATCATTCACTTTCATTTCAAGAACCGTCTTCTAAATACTCATCAAAAGATAATTCTGCCGACAGTTCATTCTCACTGAGTTATTCCATGAACATGCTTTTCACCATATCAGAGTAAGGATGCACAGTAGAAGTAATTTATTGGATTTTTTTGAAAGTTTCTTCGAAGCGTTACTGATAATAATAGGATTTTTTTGGAGGTTTTATTTAAACCTGGACTCATTTGTGAAAGAATTTTGCTGCATTGAAACTGGAATTTGAAACCCTGTTAGTAAGAACAACCGCTCTGAACAGCTGAATCTTTCTAACTGGGCTGCCATAGGTGGATCTTCTGATAAATTTGCTTCACCATTGAGAAAGCCTTCTGCCATTCTGAAGATCGGTTCCATTTCCCTTTCATAATATGTTCATCAAGAAGATTCATTGACGATTATACAAAAAATTCACACTACCTAATGGTACCTTATTGCATTACCTTTTTTTCGTTGTTCTCGTTTCTGTTCATTATAAACATTGCAAGTTCTCCAATTCAGTGAAGTTTTGTGGTAGACTTGCCTGCCTAGATTAACTTAGGCGCACAAATTTCTCTGGTAACTAGAAGATTCAGCTGCTTATGTTGCTTGCTTAGTAATACATGAGGAACAAAAAGACAATTATCTTCTTATAGTTGCTGAAGTTTGATTTCGTCTTCATTGGCAATGCTAACAAGAGACGAGATAACAGTTTGCTATTCCAACTTCACCAGTTTCCCTGGGAAATTTTCTGACTGGCCTGCTAATGATTTTACATAAATCAAAACATTGATGCGTATGAATTGGTCAAAACTTTTTATGATCATAGTGCATAGCAATTTTGATGTGTGTCTCTTCTCAGAATGATGAGATGCCTCTTGGATGGCCACTTGGGCTCAGCTTTCTGTACACGAGGCTTAGAGTTGCAGAATCACTACCAGTTGCTCCAGTGGGGTCATACTCATTGCACGTACCATCTTCCAGCTTCTCCTCTTTCTCATCCTCCAACCTTGATACAGAGGTAATTAAGTTTGTACTTCCCACAGATGAACCTATTAACTCCACCAAAATTTGTAGATAGATTTCACTTGGGTAGATCAATCTGATAATAAAGAAAGTGGATCTGCATTTAACATACTTTACACATCCCTACATGATTATATCTTTACTGCATCTACTTAAGTCTATACCTAACTACATAATTTATAGGCTGTACTGTTATGTTAGATATTTATGGAAGGGAATCATGCACCTTGCTCAAGTGGCTGACAATTACTTCCCTGTTTTCCCAAAGAAGAGGACCACCTGTTCTCAGAATTGTTTTCCATAACAGTGGTTTTAAACTTTATAGCATAGAGTTAACGCAGGTTTCCAATTTTGGGAAAGTGAACTTCACACAGTAAAAGCATCTTCATATCCCACCAAAGATCATGTGAAATAATTACTCCTCTTACCTGAACCAGCAAGAAGAGTTAGGAGCTTGTAATCTTCTCCTGTTCTCACAGTTTAATTATGTTCTTGTTACAACCAGTCATCTGCATCTTTCTTCAAAGACAGTAGTGTATCCCTGGGGAGGCTAATCGGCATTAGAGCTGGTGAAAGAAGAGGGCATTTGTACTTCCCAAACGCTTTAAATTTTGAAGAAGGTGAGATGAATAATAAGTCACTAGCAAAAGATGGCTCTAAAGTACATGAACAAGTGGATATGTCTCGAGGCAATATTTGTATACCCATTCTACTTGATGCACTTCTGCTCAAGACCAGCAGAGCTAAGAGGAGTTCAAGGAAATAAGCGTTATTATTGATGGTGAGGAAAATAACATGTAACACACCGTGTCACTTCAGTGCAGATTCTCAATTCTGTTGTTGCTGTCAGAATTCAAAAATGGGTTTCGGTCAATTTTTCTTGAATTCACCATTTTAACTTTTGCCAGGATCCTTATTGTAACTTTGTTCTGTTTCATATTATGAGCACATAATAAAAGGGATGCGAAATCCTCTAGAGTTCTGGAGGTGTTGAATCTTGCAGAAATCATCTCTACCTTTTTTCTTGTAAATTCAGATATATGATCATGTCAAGCACTTCAGAAGAATAAAGACTAAAAAATTGAGTTCAACACAACACTGAATAAATTTTTCTTTGCCACAACCTGAATTTTGACCATTAAGTTCATCTCACTAGATAATTTGTTGAATGAAGTTATTCGGTGCAAACTCGAGTGTTAAATAAACAAAAACAAGAAACAATTGAAGTAGTTGATCTACAATGGCTCAAAATGAAGAAAGTCTTAAGACTCAACTTGCATTTTGATTCAATCTGTGAAACCTGAAGATGATGGCGGACCGTCGTAAAAGCAAGTGAAATGAATGTTTTAAAAATATTACCCCTAACCTAACCCTTTTTTATAGAAAAGGAAGACACATACATCCATGCATTTATAGAAATCAAACATGTCTGGTTTGAATAGGACCTCTTCCACAGAAGCTGACGTTAATTATGGAAGCAAGTGAAATGAATGTTGATAAGGTTACCTGTGGAACAATGGAGAAACTGGTTGAACTTGAAGATTTGCTTTGGTAATTATCTGAAAAGGTCAAAAAGGAAGATGACACGGATTCTGTGCGATGAAACCTTTTGAATTGTCAACAGGGTGTATTCCTCTTCAGTCTTCACCTTTAGGACCTGCAACGTCAGGCTTCCGAATTCTGACATTTTTTTGTTCCTTGATTCTTCAGCTCCTAATTTGTGTAAAGGTCAACCCAAGTAACTATGGAATGCATATGTGTAGGGTGTATAATTTATTATGAAAGGATGGATAACTTAGTTTATTTTTATTTTGATTTATTTTATTTTTATTTTGGGACTTTTACACACATAACTTATATCATAAGACCAAATAAAAAAATAATATATCCTTTCTTAAATTTTAAAAATGATCTTTTAACATTTAGTTAATATTTAATTTACACAACTATTTTTAAAATTATAACACTCCATTTTTGCAAATATCAGAAGAGACTCAAAACGCGAGAAACAAGCAAATGAGAGAGACAAACGTGAGTTACAGTCATGATGGTGAGAGATATCGACGGTACTCAATGAAATGGAGCATGCCGGTAGGGAAACGGAGCTACAAATTTATGATTTTTTTTATTTTATTAGTTTAGGTATTTGATTTTTTGTGATAAGCTAGAGTTAAAAAAATTTTGTGGATTGTGTTTGATTCATTTTGGGCAAAAGATTATACATTTTTCGTGTTATTGATCTACAATACTATATCATTGATATATCAATGATAAACAAGTTTATGTTTAATTATCTTATTATGGTGATCTGCAATATTATATCAATGATATACTATTATATATCACTGATATATAAGTCATATCAGAGAAAACTTATCAATAATATCGTAGATCAGTAACATGAAAATATATAATCATTTACCCAAAACGGATCAAACACAATTCGCAAAAAATTTGATATTACTGAGAGATGTGAAGATGGTAAAAATTAAATGACAGATAATAGATCTTAATCTAATCTTCTACTTCTAGAAGTAAAAGCTAAGCCAATTTCAACCAAACAACAAACAATGATTTTCAGGTGAAGTTCTAAAAATTTTCTGCAAATCATTTTTGTTGTCTTAACAAAATATTTTATTTTATTTTATTTTATTTTAAATTGTTAGATGCATATAATACGGAATTTTGAATCATGGACTAGTTATGGGGATATTTTTTCTCTATTTTGGATGTATAGCGTCAAAAATTTATATTTGTTGAGTGGAGCTTTTGTTGAGCAAAAAAAAAAAAATTACATTCTAATTAAATTTGTGAAGGACCATGTTTCAAATTTTTATAAACTTTATCTAGAATTTTTGAGGCCTATATATTTTATAACCACTGCACCCAATTTTCTGTTTTATTTTTGTAGTAATCAGACAAACTAGTAGATATTTAATCTTATAAATTTAAAATATTGGTCACCGATCAAACTAATATAAGTGAAATTAATTTTTGTTAAAAAAGTATTAATATACAAAAGTCAATTAGGGGATACCTTATATGTTTAAAAAAATATACATGCCCTAGTTTGATTAAAAACAAGTACAAGTATATAACTACCACAAGTTTTTTCTCTCTTTTTTTCCCCATTTCATTCTATTTATTGCTTAACTTTTTAAATGACTTAACAACTTGAATACAAAATAATATAAAGTTAAATAAATGAAAGTTGATATAGAAGAAGGGACTACTCTCATAATATATATTTAAAAAATTACAATGTTGGAAAGGAAAATAAAGCTAGACGAAAATAACCAGTATTTTATAAACATAAGATGTTGCCAACCAAAAAATAAGATGTGCTTTTTTTTTATTTTAAAAAAATGCTTTTTAGTTAATGACAGAAAAAATCCTTGTCAGAATCAAAAGCATATATAAGAATTTTCATGAAAAAGGAAAACAAAGTATAGAAAAGAATCATTTTTTTTAGTCTTTAAACTTACATTTAATGTAATTAATTCTTTTCAGATTTATTGAGAATTAAATTTAAAAAAGTCACAATATAAATTTAAAAATAATTAATCGTGTTATATAAGTTTACATATAATTTATTTTAAGAGAATTACATTAAAATTTCACATAAAAAATTAATTAGTTTAATATATTGTATTAATATATTGTATTATAAATGTTTAAACAGTCTTACTTTAATTATCAATCGACTTTATGATAATTAATTTATTTATATAAGATTTATATGTAAATTTTCCAATTCTTGTTGAGCCCTCCCCCTCCCCTCAAGCTAATTAGCGAAACATACCCAAAGGCTAAAACAGAAGGGAAAAAAAAAAAGTACAAAAAAGTAAAACCCCCAACGTAAAATTGCAAAGCCCCTGTGGCTACCTCATTGCCGCTGCTTCATAAGCGATCCTCCATAACGATGTCCACTCCGTACGTCGCCGCCGCCAGGTCTCTCATGCGCTCCTCTGCCTCCCGATCATTTCGGAACGCGAAGTTGGCTACTGGTGTCAGAGCAAGTCCGACGGGTTCGCCATTTGGGATCCCAAAGCGGAACTCACTATCGAATCGCATGTTCAGGTAATCGTGTGTCAATCTGAAACCACTTCTCTTCTGGAGAAAGAATTAATGATATATGTTCGTTGTCTCATGAAAGGTCGCCTGTGGAGTTGAGCTGCTGCGTGGAATCGATGCTTCCGTATCACACCGCCACTGCTTCTGCATTGCTCACTTCCATGCTCTCTGTATCTCGCCGGTCTTACGGTTGGACCCCTGAAGGTATTTCTTCTTTCTCTTTATTTATTATCATGCGTGATATTTTGGTTTTTTGTCTGGTTGAATGGAAGGGTTTTGTCCTTGTTATTGTCATTTGCATTCTTGGAGAAATCTAATACGGGAAGGACTTGTTTTCTTTGAGCCTAGACAGGCTAAATTATATTAGTTACACCTTTAGTTGTGAATGATATAGTGGGAGCTTAACATCTTTTAGGGTCTGCCATGAAACCATGATATTTATATGATGTGGGAAATTACACTGGAGAAACTGAAGTTGAATAGGTTTAATTTGGCCAAGAGGGGAAGAGAGAACAATTTGTATTTAAAAAGAAAAAACTTCAATTTTGAAATTATTCTGAAAGATTCAAAGATCAACTATTTAAACTGTATAGTAAAATACTGGTAGTGGCCAGAAAAATAAAAAGGTAAAGATCTCAAATTAAATTTTTTTGTGCTTAGATCATTCAGAATAATTTCAAAATTTATGCCCCATGCTTCTCATCTGCAACTTATTTTATTTTTCTTTGTGGAACGTCCACAAGGCTTGAAACAAAGCTGAATGGTGCCATGTAAAATCTCATGTTTGAAGTGTACAAGTATGTAATATCTGCTCTCTTTAGTTTTCTTAAATCTGTTGAATCGTTGAGCCAGTCGTTTCTTATCTTTGTATCATGGCAGCTTTCCTTCTCTGTTCTTTGAATTGTTGCTAACAAACATATGAAGCTGTTGTAAGGTATAATAAAATGAAGAAATTTTTTCGATACTAATAAGAAGAGTAATAATAAGGAGGAGAGAGGAGGACTTCACTGAAACAATATCTATTTGTCCAAACAACTATTTCCGTTTGGATGGAGCAGGGGAGGTTGTGTGAGTTGCTTAAGTAAATTGCAACAGTTGGGTGTGTGTAGACAATTTTTTTCCCTTTGGAAACTTGGTTTTGCTTTTCTGACAGGATCTCTCTCTTGCTCCAACAATAAAAGGATGTCTATTATTTCCTATTTGTAGTACAAGAGAAGACTAGATGAAGATCAAGCATCAAATGTGTCTCTTGGGTTGAGAACTACTCTACAGTGGTTTAGGTGAGAGGAGTGGATTTCTAAATTTAGGATTTTATAAATTGATTTGGGCTAATAGTGCATCCTAATGATATTCTCGATATATTCCTCTTACATATTACTTCTCTTAGGCATTTCCTTACAACAATGAATCTTCACCTTAAGATATTGACCAATTATCTCTTGTCATTCCCTCAAGAAAGAACCATCACAGGTTCACCCAACTATTCCTTTAATTCAGTGAAACTTATGCTCATTTTCGTGAATGATGATTTTGACTTAATTTTGCAATCATTTGGTATTTTCCTTAGAATAATGAAATTCCTTAAAGACTTTTTCTGGCTGCTATTTTGGATTCTGGAGATGCTGGGTAACCATGCAAGAGTATCTATTGCATCTGATTTAGCCTTGGAAAGTCTATGCTTAATTAACAAAGTAATCATACTAATTTATTGTATTCACCCAGATTGCAATCATGATGTATAATGAATGACGAAGGGTTCGTGCAAAGTTTTATGTAGATGCGCTCCTGAAAAGGTGGTCAAGTAAAATTTTTGTTGTAGGATTTCGCTTGATTTTTACTTCATTTTTGTGTTCTGTAATGTTAGAAAAGCAATTACTGAAAGTTGTTGGATGGCACTAAATCTCCACCAATAAGTTACTGCGTTATAATCAAGTTTCTTTGTCAAAATTGATGACATAATGCTATTGTATGTTGGAGCCCACATGCGTGCAGTGTAAAATGGAGATCAATGGTAAACCATATCAGCTATTCAGTATTCTATAATAGAAATTAGGAAAAATTGATCTTTTAGTTCTTTAACTTTTAATTCACTTATAACTCAATCCCTCAATTATGACTCACTGTGACTCATTCCCTCAACTATGACTCGCTTATGACTCAGTCCCTCAACTTTTGAATCACTTACAAATTAGTCCTTGGACTTTTGTTAAATTTTCTTTTCATGTTAGCTTATATCTCACATCAATGAGCAAGAGGAGGGTATTTTAGAATAATATATGAGCATTTTTTTTATCCCTCTTATTTGGTAAGAAATTTTTTTTAAAAAAAATTAAAAAATAAGGACTGAATTATAGGTGAATCAAAAGTTGAGGGACTGATTCGCAGCGAGTTATAATTGAGGAATTGAGTCGCAGCAACTCATAGTTGAGAGACTAAGTTACCAGTGAGTTAAAAGTTGAAGGATGAAAAGATTAATTTTCTCTAGAAATTATCATGGCTTCTGAAGGATTTTTATTTTTTTGTGCCTAGCTGGATGGAGTGAGTGAATCCTTTAGGAGCATCAATTCCATGGCTTTTATCGTTCTGCTTTTATAGTTCTTTGGGCTGCCCAGGTGTCTTGGAATGTTAAAGCATTAATTTATTACATCTTATCGACCTTTTTTATAATGCTTCATGGATTCCAAAATTTTCTGTTAACACCTATATAATGCCCATGCATATGGCAAATTAACGTCTGCGGAGTGTTGGGACTATAAGAGAATAAGATTCCATTGATTGCTACATAGTTTGAGAATGCTAATATAATGATTTACCTTTGTTTGTTACTTCCATTTTGACCTGGCTGCTTTTTTTGTTTAGGGTCGTGAACGTTTGCTCTTTGGCCTTGGGATTGGGGACTTGGCAAGTAGTGTTAAAGTGTTGCTTCTTTTTACATTTGCTTTGCTTTGACTTGGTAGTTTTATAATGTGATTCTAAACAATTTGTAATTTAAAAAATCACAATTACCCTTCAGTATGATTAGTAATAATCGTTGTATCATTTTGGATGATATATAGTTGCACCGTTCCTAAGTCATCTTCTTCTTGAAATGTAGATGGATGATTGTTGTCTGTGGGTGCGACCATTGCGCGTACTTTTCCTGGATTTCAGTGAACTTTGCTAGGTCTGCTTGGAGGATTTTTTGTGTTCTCCTTAGTTGGATGTGAATTTTTTAATACTTAATTGTACAAGCATTGAGAGCCGAATATAATGCTTGATATTTGAAATTGATTGTTCCTATCACTCCATAGTTGAAACTTTTGGAAATGACAATGATCAATCCCCCTGTTCGAAAAATGACCTAATTTGGAGGAGTAGCCGAGATCTCATTGATTGTCAATGTACAAGCCGGTTTAAGATACTGTGTTACTCACCAATGTCTTTGTGGCATAGCAGCATGTCATTTCTCCTGTTGGCATTAGACTCTGGATTTAATCCCTCTTCTTATCACTGACAGTTAAAAAGAATAAGACATTGTGTTATCTGGCTATAATTTCAACTTTTTTTCTTTTAAACACGGCCACAAATCTGTGCAAGAATTTGGGTGTGAAGTTCAAGGCGAGGAAAGGGGAGAGTTTTAATATTATCTTGTTTGGTTTTGGTGAAGGGAAGGAGAAGGTTTTTAATGATCCTTTGTTTGGTTTAGAAAGGGAAAAGAGAGAAGGTAATAACTAATTTACTGTTATATTTATATACATTAGTTTACAAAAATTTTAATTATTCCTTGTAGATTATAATTTTACACCTCAATTTAAATTGTATGATTTTTTAAAAATTCACTCTCATTTTATCATATTGTCAATATATGAATAAAAAAAATTAAATCAATAATTATACTGATAACAATTTTTTATGAAAAATAAACAACTCCCTTAAATATATAATAAAATATGATGAATTGTAATTTTTAAAAAAAAAAATCCAAGGAGATCAGTCAAGGTCTGAGGGTGAAGTATAATTTGATATGAAGGAATTTTTTTTTTTTTAAGTTATGGTATACTTAGAATATTAAATAATAGATAAGGGCAAAATAGTCAAAAAAAAACTCTCCTTCAAAAAACTCCAATTTGCTGGGGAGGGGTCAAAATAACCTCTCCCCTTCCCTTCCCTTCAAAATTTTTTAATCAAATGAGAAAAGGAGAGCATCTCCTTTCCAAAACTCTTCAACCAAACACATCATTAAAGAAATCAAATAATGTCAAAGTACAAAATGTTTTGGTACCTTTAGAGTGGTTTGTCTAAAAGTGTAATATTTAAATAATCATTAGAAGCTCAAAGTACTTATCAATATATTTATTTGCTTTTCTAAATATAAAATAATTGTCCAATTTTTACAGTGGTTTTCTTGACAATTTCAGCAAAAGGGATGCCCTTAAAAAACTTGTGCTAGGTGTGGCTGGAACCAAATTCAGCATTATGTAACTCTTCCCATAAAAGCAGGTGACAGAAGGAGGGAAACTTAACTACTTTAGGTTGTGATGCTTTTCAAGAGAAAAGTTTAGGTTGTTTTGTTGGAAATAAAATCATCCCCCCCCCCACCCTTGTTCTGTTTCTTTTTTTTTCCCCCTTACCCCCCTCGTTTTGCAACAAAACAAATTGTATTTTGAAAATTAAATGGTTTAATTTCTCATGATGGGCAACTTATTTGTACATTACGCTTCAAAGTTGTGTGAAGACCAGATTTTGCTAGAGTTTGCATTAACTTTTCTAAAAATAAACCATTGTCGGAATTATTTGGCTGAAGTGAAAACTTGAATGCAATAGAAGTAAAAGAAAATCTTGATAGTTAATCATTTTTTACGGGTAGTGAATGTAATTTTGCCTGTATTTTAGCATTTTCAGAAGGCTCACGGCATTTCTAATTTCTTCTATTATTTTCGAGAAACCTCAAAACGGACTCGAGCCAGGTGATTTGCGTGTCCCCTATAGATTAAAACTACAAAAATGAATCCTCACTTTGAAAGGAACCAAAAATGAAGTTAACTTTTACAAGTTTGTACAATATTAGTTTACTCTTGATTCTTAATTTAGAATGAACTTAAATACTTAATTTCATCATTAATAACAAATAATCAACTCCACATCTCCACTTTCTTCCACTCCAATCCAAATTAATGCATGTTTGTTTTTAAGTTTACATCCCCTGGAAGTCCATTTAAAATAAGTTGGAAATGACAAAAACACAACTTAAATGTAGCTTAAATAAACTTTTGAGAGAGATCCAAATCTGCCTATCCACTCTCAAGAATCATCGAAAAGGAAAAGATAATATCGAGTTTATTTGCTGCCTTTGAACTCAAAGGGTCCAATTTCGGAGGCAAAACTTTATTATGACATATATTTAAATACTAAACTGGAATTGACGTCCACGAAAATGCAGGTGGGAAAGAAGAAAAGGAAAGACCGATGATTGTATTAACACAATATTATACTTTGTCTCGAGTTCTCCGGATACAATTGCTGACAAAGTTAAAATATCATAGCCTCATAACACAACACCTTTCTGGTGACCTCAACTCAGCCAAAAAGATGCCAAACAAGTTAAAAGGGAATTGCATGCTAATTTATGTAAGCGAAGGTATACCCAAACCCATCCTTCTTCACAAGTCAAACACTTTACCTTGACAATATCCATTTTCTTGGTAAACCAATCATCAAGTCATCTTTCCAGTATTCAGAGGAATCATTCTTCAACCACATTCACCAACTCATATTCCACTAGAGAAAGGTTGTTATCCTCTTTGACTACAAATTTTGCAGGATCAGTGACCTCAATACGACCCCATTTGTCAACAGCTAGCCTCATTGATCCCTTGAACATGTCAATCTTTGCATTTCGAAGAATTACTGTAGTACCTGGGTTCATCAAATCCACTGTAGCAGAAAAAACAAAACACGTCACACACAAAAACACTAGTTGGAAAAACTCTTCAACAAACTATGGTCTACATAAAATAAAAGGATCAAATCAGTCACAAAGATACCAATATAAGCTCGCCTAAAAGTTTATCTAACATGCTCATGTTTTTTCCATCATTGGTATGATTTATCTATCTCTCGCATAGTCTAAATAAGAATCTCTCCTAAAGTTGGTGTGCCTCATTTCTACTCCCTCGAGATATACCTATCCAGTATGCACGTATTACCAATTAACCAAAGTATCAGAGGTCTTCTATTCATTAAACTTGACTCTTAAGTTTCTGCGAGTCAAACCAAGAACCTCAAAACAATATAAAACCTAATTACTCTGAAAACTATTTCAGAACTGAAAATGAGTAGGAATGCAAGCAAATTCACACAAATATCTTGTACATATTTCTTGCACATTTTCATTATTCTGATATCACTTTCCTTCCACTGGAAATTGTCAGCCATACTCCTGTCGTAGCTTTCAGTACCCTACAAAAGATCCAAACGATGGAAAACTGCAGCTTGTTGCCAACGATACCATTCTTTCTAATCATTGACCACCAACAATCCATTCACCAAAATGTTTAAGATGTTCTAAATTGAAGACTTGGGGAAAAAAAACGTAAAGTAAATAAAGTTGTTTACCTGCAGATTCTTGATATACGTATATAAAGAAGATACAAAAAAGGCCTCTTTTATTCAAAGAACCAAAAATACCCTTCTACACATTTGATACAGGAATTTCAATTTACCTCATAGAATTAAAGACTAAGGTAATTCAGACATTAGTTTACCCAGACAATTAGTGAAAAAGTGTTGGATATTGGTAGTAATAGACATCATAAGCATATTGTTCAAAATATCCCTATCTTCATTTTCAATTGCAACAAGTTTTGCTCTTTGAGTCTGGACTAATGTGATGACAGTGTAATGACACTCACTACAACTTCTGGTTTTATAGTGAACATGGGCGTACATGTGATTTTAAATTGTAAGTGTGCCAGGGCACAAGTTTGAGCAATGTCTAGCGTTGTGTTCATGTATATGTGCGCATTTAATGACATCATGTGAATGCGCTGCATATCGTGTTATGTATTTGTATGCATGTGCCTTTGATGACATCATGTGAACGTGCCGCATATCTTTTAAATTTTGACACCCTTGAAGTGTGTCTGAAATAGTGAAATTCAAAAACAAAGTTTAAAGTGAGAAGAGTTTTTTGGTAAAAAGGTAAGTAGCATGAAGACTCTAATTGATACCACATAATGTTTGGAAATATGTTGAACTTAGTTAAAAAAACTAATACCAAACCAGGAATATTTTTCAACCAATAACTTCCTTGGAAACGTAGATAAATCCCCATATCAACACGTGATGTAAAATTGACAACAGAAGCGTTCTTGGTGAAGTGTAACCAATAAAAGCATATCTGGGAAAACTGAACAAAGCTCGCAAAAATTCATAACCTTAGTCACACTGAATCATAGTAACACAACGATAAAATGAGAAACGTTATGCAGGAACCAGTTACTGAGGTTAGATTTTCTTTTTCTTTCTTTGTTTTTTTTTTTTGGGGGGGGGGGTTAAGGGGCAAACAAGACACTTAGTCATCATACCCATCACCTTCAAAGCAATATTATATATATATATATATATAGTATAAAGACCGATAATAGAGACACTAAGGGCAAAGGATAAATCTCTCCCAACTAAATTGCTACACACAAAGGTCTGAGATTCGAACCCTCAACAGAACTCTAACCACTCACGCCAACTTTAGTTGGTTTCAAATCAACAGTTTTAGATGCCAAAACACTGACAAAACCATGTGTTCATTCTCTACCGCCACGATAATGCAAGTGTTCACCAAGGACATCAATTTTACACTGTTGAACTAAACAGCTCCAGAGGAGCTACAAAATCCATCCTTGATCAACTCAACACTTAACATAATAACATTGGCAAAAATTGCATAACGTCAACACAATAGTCTATAAAGCTTCAAAACCTGCATAAATCTTCGTCAAATGTCATAAATATGAATCCTACAACACAAAGAGCCAAGACCATCAAATGTGATAGTGATTCCATGAGAATGGTTCCAGGAGTCGGGGGATTGGGATTTCAAAGAGCCGAACCAGATAATTATAATTGAGCCTTTTTTCATCGGAGCAACTACATATAATCATCAACCAAGATCCAGATAAGCAAAACACCTCCGAATAACCCCCTTTCTAAATTTCATAATCGGCACATCATCGAAAATAGAAGAGTCACGCAGAGACAGAATCAGAATATATAGAACCCACGATAATGTAGATCCTATCAACAAAAGCCCAAATGAAAACAACGAAAAAATTTAAACAGTCAAAAGGCATCTTATGAGAGAAGTTTGCTTTTTTTTTTTTTGGTATAAAAAAAGAGACTGAGTTCGGGACCTTGTTCGTTGCGAGCAGTGAAAAGGATGGTTCCAGTCTCGTCGCCGACTAGGCACTCAGCGATGAGAGTGGGACGGAGGCTCTGAGAAGAAGCGGAGGGTCGAGCTTTCTGCAACACGGTA